TATTTTTTATTTGACATATAGTTCACTTGTACTCCTTCATTATCATCTTTTTTATAGATAATATCATTTTAAAAACATTATTAGAAGAATCTAAATCTGTATTTAAAGCACTACTAGTAAATAAAATAAGCCCTTAATTACAGTAATTGTACTATATATAAAACTAATGGTGGCATATTTACTGCCTCCCAATAGTTCAGTTACTTTGGCAAAAAGCTTTAAAACTGCAGTTAATATTGATATGGTATCCCATTTTATACTTGTTAGATTAATTTTTTCTAGTTGAATACCATCTTTCTGGGTTTGCAAATCATTTTCTAATGTTAAATTGGTTATCATCATGCTAATAATACTTCTAATTTGTAAAAATTATTGCCAGGAAAGATATGACAAGTTCCATCTAGTAGAAACATCTGCAATAATTTGTAATTGATGATCATTATTGCTTAGGTCCTAAAAATTTATTAATAAATTTATATATTGTACATTAGATTAAAAATTTACTGTTGTTATTCTAGAGATTTATTACCAAATTTCACCACTAATTTATTTTAAATTTGGTTTAGTTCCTTAATATAATATATTTAAATGACTATAAATTATTTATAAATAAATATTTTTTAATAATAATGAAAATACATCATTGCCAATACAAAATATTATGATTTCACCTTTATCCTAACTTAGATTTTTGCTCTAATTCTAATAAAATTCTAAATTCTACACCTATATTTTATTTTTACTTAAATTCTAATAAATTTTTAAATTCTACACTTACTATATTTTCAAATTGATACAAATTTTTTTGAGCATTGATTAATCTTTCTATTTGTTTATGTGTAATAAAAAACAGCATGAGCCTTTTAGCATATACTATAAAAAGTTCTGTATTCACTAATCCTTTTCTAATAGCATATTGTAGGGTATGAGCTATGCAGGGAATTTGAATAATATTTGGCATAAATTTTATAGTTTAATCATGTTGCTTCTATTATCTGTTATGAAGATAAAAACCTTATTAGTTAATTTCCAATTATCAATTATAATGGCTAATAAAATTTTCTATTGAACTGTCTATTGATCCTATTAAATAGCCACATAGTTGAAGCCTATTAATTCTATTAACTTTAAACAAACAACTACCATATTTATCTGCCATGTGTACCTGAGGTATTTCTCTAGCCCATTTTAGTACTCAGAATACACATGTAGGGGGTATACTGTATGAATACTTCTATGTTTTTAGTTGTTTTACTATTATATACCTGGGTATATAAGTATGATACTTCCATACTTATATATCTGGGTATAAATCAAAAAATAGACTTCGAAACTGCTACAGGGTACATTGCACAGGGGTACACATGGCAGATAAATATGGTAACTATCTATTTATATAGTTGTACAGGTTTGCATATTTGATAATAACTCTATATTCAGCTTTTTCTGGGTACCTTATCAATAGGTATAGTTGAAGATCTTTAAGGTTAGGCTTAGTAGATTGATTTATGCTAGAACCATTTTTAGGTATACTGCTATCTCTATAATCAGTATTATATTTATCAGTTATATTAGTTACATGTTTATTATCATGTTCGTTAGTTACATGATCATTATCATATTGATTAGTTGTATAACCATAATCATGTCTATTAGATACATAATTATAATCGCAACCATTACTATCTTTATCACTTAACACCTCTGATGATAAAGTTGTACTAATTGTATTTTCATTAAAATGTTTTTTTTTTTTTGCTATAGTTTTAGTTAAGCTATATTTTTTTGATTGTTTTACAAATAATTTATTATCGGAATTTTTTTTTGATCCAGGTTCAGTATCACCTAAAGAGCTAAAACTAGATATACTTTCTTGTTCCATATATTCTATGTTATTCTTATATAAAATAGAGATACTTTTCATGCAGATTATCATGCTGATGTATATGAAGGCTTTGTCTTGAAAATCACCCTCTGACATTTTCGATCAGGTTAATTCAGACAAAAATAAACCTGAGTACCAATTCATGTTCATATATTAATTATCTTTCATTTTTATTGATTCAATAGCTATTTGACAAACTATTGAATCAATAAAGTTACAAGATGATTAACATATAAACATAAATCAGTACTCTGGTTTATTTTTGTTTAAGTTACCTAATTAAAAATTTTGGAGGGTGATTTTTAAGACAAAAACCCCATATGTATTTATATATGATTAAGAGTTACAGAATACTATAAATATAAATATGTACATATGTATATATGTATAGATATTCTAATAATCAAGCTTTAAAATTCAAATATAAATGTCTTGTTCTAATAATTATTCCTCTATTTTATTATTTTTATTTGAACCCAAATAAAATTATTTAAATTAGAATAGAGATCCTATTTATATAAAATAATAGTTTGATAAACTAGGGATTGAATATAATTATCATAGTTAAAAAAAATTAATTAACATGAACATGATTAAGTTCAGGATAAATTTCTAATATAGAAAGTTCACAATATTGTCTAAAGCTCTAAATTAAAAATTGTAATATATCTTATTCAACTAAAGGTTTAAAATTATTCTCTAATGAAAATTGATAGTTAATTTGATCTCAGGAAGATATAAAGTGTGAATATTATTTGAGATTGACAAAAAAAGGTGAATAAATTTTGTACAAATGGTATAAGCATTATCAAAAATGAATAAAAAGTACTGATATAAATTATAGCCAATAAATAGCAATTATGTAGTTTAAGATGAAAGAAAAGTATTAAAATAGTAGTCAAAATCAGCAATGATAGTAAATAACTAAACTATTAAAACCATAATAAAAAATATATATATATATAAAAAAAGGCATTCTATGATAAAAGTAAAGTATAGAAACTAGGAATTGTTAAAAAAAAATTTAGGTAATATCATAAAAATATTATTAAATGAATAGGAAAAAAGCCAAATATCTGTTTTTTTGTGCTTTGAGAAAGTAATATATATAGTAGTTACTTCTGTATTACTTAAGACTATGGATTGAATACTATGTATAATGTCTTCTATATCTTATATAATATCTTATCTCTTAAACTGTAGGCTTTTCCAGGCAAATTTGTCTGGAAAATTATCATAAATATAGTTATGGCTACTTTTTTTAATTTTTAACAGATTTAAATAAAATTTTTTTTGATAATATTTGAAAATAAGGATTATATTATAGCAGTATTTAATTTTATATTATAAGA